CTGTGTGCCATGACTATTGAGCCTGTGCTCTAGAGCCTGGGTACTGTAATTACTGAGCCCACATGCTGCAACTACTAATAAGTCTGTTCACCCTAGAGCCTGTGCTCCAGAACAAGAGAAGCCAACCCAATGAAAAGCCCATGCACAACTACAGAGTAGCCCCAGCCCACTGTAACTGAGTATGGCAAAGAAGACCCAGCATAGCCAAAGAAATAAGTAAATAAATCTTCAAAACAAAAAATAAAATGTGGTGAGCACAGGTTATGTCTTTCCTCGGGGTGTCCTTGTTGGGAAGTTGTGCTGGAGATACAGTGGCTAGAGCCAGAGCCCTGTGTGAGCGTTTTTCTCCTGTGCACAGTGGTTATCACTACCCGGTCATCAGGAGCAGGAGCCAGGTCTGGTTCTAAGGTCCTGGAAGCAGAAGCCCTGAGTGTTGCCTCTCAGTCGGTTCTGTTCTCTCCATGTTTGCGCTCTCTCTGCTCCCAGCAAGGGTACCTTTGCCTTGGAGGAAGCAACGCTGGAACAGGAGGGTTTTTGCGGGCCAGACACACACTGAGACTGTCTAGGAAGCCAGTCAAGTATACAGACAGCTCCTGATCCACCACCTCCACAAGTGTCAGCACTGGCTTAACTCATCTTATTCAGATGCAGTGCTGGGTCCAGATCTGCTGCATACCCTCCAGTGTGCACTCTACTTGGCAGCGAGCACTAAAACTGGATCAATTCCCCTCCTTTCCTAACCTGACTCTGTGGGTCATTTTTACAGCCTTGGTTTTGGACATCATTCTGAATGTCTCCAGTTTGTTTTCAGTGGGAAGGGGCTCCATATAGGTGTATTTTTGATATGTTCCTGAGGGGGAGGTGAGCTCAGGGTCCTACTTCACCTGCTTTCCTCTCAGTGTGACATTTTCTGAGTGTGCAGGGATATTCAGGGATTTTGAACTAGAATGGAATGACTTTCACACAGTGATTGTGGGAATTATGATCATCTCTGAATGCACATGCCTTCTTTTCTCATAGATCTTCCTTCTAAGGACCCTTTATGCGATCCTGAGGAAAGGATAGAGGCAAGACAGAATGGTAGCTGAGTGTTTGAGTGATTGTTCTCAGGTAAGAAGACAGGGCATCCTAATACAGAGTGAGCTACTGCATGCACCATATGGAAACATTTCCTTCTGGTTAGACCTATGTACACAGCTTCTTAAATAAAGCCAGTCTGAGTCCCTTTTGAATTTCCTCCCCATGTGAAAGGTCTCATATTGATAAGGGATTGCTCTCAATAATCTTAGTATTTTAGTAATTACCTTCTGATATTGTCTCATGATTGATTCTGCATGTGTTTTATTTTGACTGTTTTGACGTGGTACAGAATGAGAGTATATATTTCTTAGTGACCTTATTTATTAGCTTGCACAAGTGTGTGTAATTTGTTTAGGATTGTGTTACTGGTTCCATATCAGTCACGAGTGGGTGTAGCTAGAAAGGAGAGCTAAGACCATTATGTCCTGGGAGAGATGATGAGAGACCTTGAGGCCCTCTGTTGATATTTGGGCTCCCTTCCTCATTCTCCACTGTACATTGTTGGAGATCTTACTTTACTGAAACTACTGTGTGTGCAATGGTTTAGGACTCAGTGACCTTCGCTGATGTGGCTGTGTACTTCACCCAGGAAGAGTGGACTTTACTGAACCCCTTTCAGAGAAAGCTATATAGAAATGTGATGCTGGAAAACTATAAGAACCTGACCACAGCAGGTAAGGCTGCCATCATTCCTGTATACTCTTACGGAATGGACATACATGTGCTGTACCTTCTGTGTTCCAAGATGGGTGATGCCAATCTGAACACAATGGAACTAGTAGACACTTGTATCTAAGGAATGAGTTTTACTCCAGTATACTTTCTGTAACAATGAGCTTTGAGAACTAACAGCATTATCATGACTCTTGTTTGAAATATGCATTCTCAAGAGTTCACCTTTGGCATAGTGAATGAAACTTTGGAATTTGGGCCCAGTTATCTGTGTTTTAACAAGCAGTGGGCATGAGTCTTGAAACCAACATTTGGCAACCACTAGTTTAGCGGCTTCTCCATGAGACCAAACATCTTTTTACATTTACTTTATTTCCCATTTAACAACATTCAGTGCTTTGTAAATGTTCACATAGGTCTGAATATGTTTTTCACTGGCCACAGATACAGTCTCTTTGACACACTGAAAGAGGAGCTATTTGCCTTTTTATCTCTTTGAAAATTATTACCACATTCATTCTAATGACTTGATTAGATATCAGACCTGATTCATGGGAAGGTTTGTCGTGTCTGACAGGGACTTTTTCATTAATATATCTTTCCTTGTGAACAGGACATCAGGCATTCAAACCCACTTTAATCTCTTGGTTGGAACAAGAAGTATTAAAAACTGTGCAGAAAGGAATCCTCCAAGGTGAGCAATAATAAAGAACTTCCCATGTCAATTCAATTTCAGTGTGTTTTGAATTTATAAGAAGGAAGCTTATTGAAATGGGCTTTCTCTCAGAAGGCTGAGGACGTTGGTTTCTAATGTTCTGTGACTTCTTGAACTTCTCATACATACATACATTTAATCAGACTTTCCTGTGATCTCACAAAATAGCCTTTTGTTTCTGTATTAGTTATATATATATATATATATATATATAGGTGGGGTGAGGGCGCTGTATATAGGCTCTTTGTTGCTGTATGCAGACTTTCTCTAGTTGCAGCAGTCAGGGGCTACTCTACTTTTGGTGCACAGGCTTCTCATTGGGTAGTTTCTCTTGTTGCAGAGAATGAGCTCTAGGGCCTCCAGACTCACTAGTTGTGTCACTTGGGCTCTATAGTGCAGCCTGAGTTGTAGCACACAGCCTTGGCTCTTGCCATATTAGTTTCAGGACCAGGGATCTCACATGTGTCCCCTGTATTTGTAGGCAGATTCTTAATCACTGGACCACCTGTGAAGTCCCTTAGTTTTATCATGTTGATGTATATTCTTTGTCCAGAACTTTCCCTATTAATATTCTCTTTTCTTCCTTTTTACTCTTCATAGACTCATCCTTTAAACCAAGTACTCAATTTTGACTACATATATATACTCTTGCTTAATTTTTGTCATAGTCAAATTCCTCATGTCTTTGTTGCCTTTTTAAAAGGTATGTTAAATTGGAAACTTATACAGATGAGCCTTATTGTTTTTAAACCCCTTTAACATCCATTTCTTTTTGCAAAGTCTTAAATTTGTTATTCTCTTTTACTTTAGAATGGGAAATGCAACTTACATCCAATGACTTGGGAATTCAGCAGGATATTTTGCAGGAAAAAACATCAAATAGGGTACAAATGGTAAGATCAGTAAGTTTCATTCATAAAAAATACTTATTTTCCTTTTAGTTAATATTGGGATTTCCATACAGCATGAACATTAGTGATAGATATTTGAGTGGCATTCACCCCAGAGATAGCAGTGTCTGTCAACAAATTCTGATTATGATCAATTTGGGAATATCCTAACCCAAGGTTAGAAATAGTTGCTGCAGACTTCCCACAAGGAATCATTCCCGTGTATATAATTAGACAATGAACTTTGAGAACAGTTCAATGAAATTGTATTGAACTGTTTTACCATTAGAATATATGGCACCTCATTGTGTCAAAAGGATTTCATCATTTAACTTTAAAGAAATCAATAGGAAGTGTATGAATGTAACAGAGATGGTAAAAATCATCATCCTCTCTGTAATGATGTTTCTGTTTTGAGATGGGTAGGATCAGTTAATGAATCTGAGAGATCTTTGAATCATCATCCATCCATTTCTCCACAGGCACAAAGCCACAATGGACAGGAACTGTATGACTGTGAGCACAGGTGGAAAGACTTCAGTGACAATGACTACTCATACCTTAGTTCACACAAGAGAACTGAAAATGGAGGCAATTCTTATGAATATAATCATTATGGAAAAAGCTTCCTTACTCTGCACAACGAATCCTTTACTGGAGAAAAATGTCCCATGTTTAATCAGTGTGGAAAAGCCATCAGGCTGACTCCAGATACTGTGTACTGGCAATGTAGCATACAAGAGAAAGCCTTAGAACACAGAGATCTTGGGCGATCCTTTGCTAATGAGTCTTTTCTTCAGGCACAAATGAGAGCTCAGAAGAAAAAAAGACATGACAATTGGAATGAATGTGGGAGAGCTTCCATTCAGTCAACAAGCCTCCATGCACATGTACCAACTCACACAGCTAACAAACACTACATATATGAGGATTCTGGAAAATTCTCTGTTGCAACCCTAAGCCGTAGACGACATATAAAAACACACACTGGAGAGAAGCCTTTTCAGTGTGACACATGTGGGAAAGCCTTTGGATCATCCTCATACCTACGCATTCACATACGAATTCACACTGGAATAAAACCCTACAAATGTAAGAGATGTGGAAAAGCATTTGTATCCTCATCATACCTTCAAGTTCACAGTCGAATTCACACTGGAATAAAACCCTACAAATGTAAGGAATGTGGGAAAGACTTCTCTCAATCCTCAAACCTCACTGGACATATGAAAACTCACACTAGAGACCAGGCCTATAAGTGTAAGGTATGTGGGAAAGACTTCCATCGATCCTCAGACCTCATTGGACATACGAAAACTCACACTGGAGAGCAACTGTATAAATGTAAGGAATGTGGGAAAGCCTTTGGGTCATCCTCACACCTTCGTGTTCACAGTCAAATTCACACTGGAATAAAACTATACAAATGTCAAGACTGTGGGAAAACCTTCACTGGTTCCTCTCGCCTTATTGAACACATGAATACTCACACTGGAGAGAAGCCTTTTAAGTGTGAAACATGTGGGAAAACCTTCACTCAATCCTCATGCCTTACTAAACATATGAAAATACACACTGGAGAAAAGCCTCTTAAGTGTGACATATGTGGGACTACTTTTACTCAAACCTCATACCTTACTCAGCATATGAGAACACACACTGGGGAGAAGCCTTTTAAGTGTGACAAATGTGGGAAGGCCTTTGCTGCTTACTCATATCTTAGTAACCATTTCAGAACTCACACTGGAGAGAAGCCTTTTAAGTGTGACACATGTGGGAAAACCTTTGTTCAATCCTCAGGCCTTTCTCAACATAAGAAAACTCACACTGGAGAAAAACCTTTTAAATGTGACACATGTGGGAAAACCTTCAGTCAATCCTCATACCTTTCTCGACATATGAGGACACACACTGGAGAGAAGCCTTATAAATGTGATACATGTGGGAAAGGCTTTGGGTTTTCTTCTATTCTTCGTAGACATTTACAGTCTCATACTGGGGAGAAGACTGCTAAATGTGAAAAATGTGGGAAAACCTTCACTCGAGCCTCAGGCCTTACTCAACATATGACAACACACACTGGAGAGAAGCCTTATAAGTGCGACAAATGTGGAAAGGCCTTTGCTGATTCCTCGTGTCTTACTAAACACATTAGAACTCACACTGGAGAGAAGCCTTTTAAGTGTGACAAATGTGGGAAGGCTTTTGCTGTTTCCTCACGTCTTACTAAACATTTTAGAACTCACACTGGAGAGAAGCCTTTTGAGTGCAATATATGTGGGAAAACATTTACCACTTCTTTGTCTGTTACCATGCACAAGCGAAGGCACACTGGAGAGAAACCATATTCTTGTAAGGAACGTGGGTAGACCTTTTTATGTTCCTCAATACTTACTTCCTATGTACAATGACACTGGGAGAGAAGCCACTGGAACATGATATGTGGGAAAGCCCTTGCTGATTCCTCCTGTCTTAACATTTTGTTTTTAATATTTGATGGCACCATGCAGCATATGAAACCTTAGTTCTCCGACTGGAGATCTAACACGTGCCCCCTGTATTGGAAGGTAGAACCTTAACAGCTGGACATCCAAGGAGGTCCCCTACTAAACGTTTTCAAAATCAACACAGGAGAGAATCCTTTTGAGGGTAATAAACATGGGAAAGGATTGAATCACCAGTTCTTCACCCTTTACCATTCACTAGTGTATTCACACTGGAGAAACACCATTAACTTCAAGAATATGGGGATCAATTTTATCATTCGTATCTCAGTAGTAATGGAAAAAGTAAGGAGACGAGTTCAGGAATGCCTTTGCCTGAATCTATCATGCCTTGTCTCTAGAACAAAGCCTAGAGTTCTTGATCACAAAACATGTTTAGACATACACATACAATTCAACCCATGGTGACTCCTGCACACCAGGTCCCTGCAGTGGCATGAAAGATGAGGTGATGCCTTTGCATCAGCCAGGTAGATTGGAGCCCAGATATCTCCAAGGGCAATTCCAGGAGCTACTGGGTTCCCCTGAGCTGGGAATACATAGCACTGTTGTGTGGGCTTCTTCCTTGAAATACATCTTGCAGGCTGATGTGTGTCAAGACTCACCTTTCTTTTTGTAGATGACATGATACTGTACATATAAAACTCTAAAGATGCCACCAGAAAATCATTAGAGCTAATCAATTAATTCAGCAAAGTTGGAAGAAATAATATGTGGAAATCCCTTGCATTCTTGTATACTAACATTGAAAAATAAGAGATACTAAGGAAATAATTCCATCATCATCGCAACACAAAAAGTAAAATACCAAGGAATAAACCTACCTAAGCATTCAAAAGATCTCTGTACAGAAAATTATAAGATACTGATGAAAGAAATCAAAGGCAACACAGTTGGAGACATGTATCATGTTGTTATTAGAGGAATCCATATTCTGAAAATGACTGTACTATCCAGTGATATCTACAGATTCAGTGCAATCCCTGTCAAATTACTGATGGCATTTTTCACAGAACTAGAAAAAATGTTTTTTAACTTGTCTGGAAACACAAAAGACCCCAAATAGCCAAAGCAGTCTTGAGAAAGAGCGTAGAGGTGGAGCAATCAACCTTCATGACTTCAGACTATACTACAAAGCTACAATCATCAAGACAGTATGGCCCTGGCACAGAAACAGACCAATGATAAAAGATAGAAAGCCCAGAGGTTAACCCACACACCTGTGGGCACCTTTTCTTGGACAAAGGAGGCAAGAATATACAATGGAGAAAAGACGGCCTCTTTAAAAAGTGGTACTGGGAAGACTGGACAGCCTCATGTAAAAGAATGAAATTAGAACACTTCTTAACACTATACACAAAAGAAATTTAAAATGGATTAAAGACCTACATGTAAGGCTGGGAACTATAATACTCTTAGAGGAAAATATAGGCAGAACACTCTTTGACATAAGTGATAGCATTATCTCTTTGACCCACCTCCTAGTGTAATAGAAATAAAAACAAAAATAAACAAGTGTGACCTAATTAGATGTTTTAGCACATGAAGCTATAAACAAGATGAAAAAGATAACCCTCAGAGTGGGAGAAAATAATTGCAGTGAAACAACTGAAAAAGGATAAATCTACAGAATATTTAAGCAGCATAGGCAGATCAAATACCAGAAAAATAAAGGACCCAGTCGGAAAATCAGCACAAGACCTACACAGACATTTATCTAAAGAAGACATAGAGGTGGCCCCCAAACACATGAAAAGATGCTCCACATCACTCATTATGAGTGAAATACAAATGAACTCTACAATGAGGTATCATCTCACATTGGTCAGAATGCCCATCATCAAAATATCTAAAAACAGTAAATGCTGGAGAAGGTGTGGAGAAAAGGGAACCTTCTTATGTTGTTGGTGGGAATGGAAGTTGATACAGCCACTATGAAGAACAGTATGGAGATTTCTTTAAAAACTAGGGCTGAAACTAACATGACCCAGCATCCCACTGCTGGGCATATACCATGAGAAAACCATAATTGAAAACGACACATGTACCCCAGTGTTCATTGCACCACAGTTTGCCGTGGATAGAACAAGAAAGCAAGCTTTATGTTCATTGACAGATGAATGGATAAAGAAGTTGTGGTACATATATACAACTGAGTATTAACCAATACAAGCAACGTATTCGAGTCAGTTCTGGTGAGGTGGATGAACCTAGAGCCTGTTACACAGAGTGAAGTAAGTCAAAAAGAGAAAAACAAAGATTGCATATTAATACATATGTATGTGGTTTAGTTGCTAAGTTATGTCTGACTTGTGACTCCATGGACTGTAGCCTACCTGGCTCTCTGTCCATAGGATTTTCCAGAGAGGAATACTGGAATGGGTTGCCATTTCCTTCTCCGAAAACATACGTATGGTACCTAAAAAATTATATTTGTGAACTTATTTTCAGGGAAGCCATAGCAATGCAGACCTGGAGAATAGACTTTTGGACCTAGGCTGAAAGGCTGGAGGTGGGGTAGATTAAGAGAGCGGTATTTGGATCTGCTTGTAACACGAGAGACCTGAGTTTGATCCCTGAGTTGGGAAAATCCCCTGGAGAAGGGAACGACTACCCACTCCAGTATCCTTGCCCAGAGAATTTCAGAGACAGAAGAGCCTGGTGGGCTACAGTCCATGGGGTCCCAAAGAGTTGGACACAACAGAGCAACTTGGAAAATCACTCAGTCAGACACGACTGAGCAACTCACTCACTGACATGTATACACTACCATGTGTACAATAGCTAATGGGAAGTTACAGTACAACACAAGGAGCTCGGCCTGGTTCTGAGTGGTAGGATGGTGTGCAGGTAGGGAGGGAGGTTCAAGAAGGAGGGTACATATGTATCCTTATGGCTGATTCATGTTGTATGGCAGAAACCAACACAACATTGTAAAGCACTTGCTCTCCAATTTAAAAAACATTTTTAAAATAAAGTTCCTTTCCCCCCCAGCACTGGCTGTAAGTGACGTCTGCCCACTACTGTCCTTGCATGACCCCCTGCATTTGACCCACCCTCTGGTACCTGCCTGTGAACAGGGAATTCCTGTTTTTGTAAGACCGAGGCAGCTGTACTTGTGAGACTACTGACCTCCCCCAGCAGGCTGCCTACAGAAGTGACCCTGCATGTGGGTATTTTAAAATACTGTTTTGTGGGACTTCCCTGGTGGTCCAGTGGTTAAGAATCCACCTTGCAATGCAGGAGATTCAGGAGACACAGATCCATTCTCTGGGTGGGAAACAAGCATCTCAACATGCAGTGGGGCAACTAAGCTATTGCACCACAACTGGAGAAAAACCCCTTACAACCTTGAAGTCCCAATGCATCACACACAAAAGATAATGTTTGTGTGAGATGTTTCGTTCAGTGTATTAAGTCTTTGAAATAACCAGCTAGCCAGTTTCTTTATATTCTCTTTAGTCATACTTACATTTCTCCATTTACAATCTGACTTTAGTAGTTTTTTTAAAACTAACATCGTCTAAGAATCTTGAGTTTTGATTTACTAATTTAAAATATCCATTTTAGATAAATAGCTGAAATATATAAAATTCTATATATTACTAAAGAAGCCTCTAGCACTTTAGGGTCCTCTGCACAGATATTTTATACAGCTGAGTCTCTAAGAGAAGAGAAGTCTCTCAGTCATGTCCAATTCTTTGCGACCCCATGGACTGTAGCCCACCAGGCTCCTTGGTCCATGGGATTTTCCAGGCATGAATACTGGAGTGGGTTGCCATTTCCTTCTCCAGTCTCTTAAGAGAGGCACTGCCAATCATGCTGGTTTTAACTTTTTCCCCCAGATGTGTTATTTCTGGAGGATCCATTAAATACTACTGTTAGTAATTCTCTACTCACACTTTTCTACTATTGTAAGGTGTACATCATGTAAAATTTACTGTGTTAACCATTTTAAGTATGCAGTTACGTCAAGTTGCATTAAGTACACATTTTTGGGTAGCTGGGGCTGCTATGAAGCTAGTGGAATGTTAGCCCCCCAACTAGGGATTAAACCTGTGTCCTGGGAATGAAAATACAGAGCCCTTAACCACTAGACTATCAGGGAGTTCCCAGCCATATTCTTACTGTTATGCAGTCATTGCCACCATCCATCTCGAGGTGTTTTTCATCATCCCAAATTACTACTTGGTACTTGTTAAATAATAACTTGTTGTTGTCCCTTACTCTATTTCTGGTAACCACCATTGTACTTTCTATCTCAGTCTTTATGAAATAAATTCCTCTAGTTAAGTTATGGAGTTGGAACTATATATTAGACTTGGCCCTTTTGGACACCATGAATTGGAAATGCACAGGGATGGTATTCATAGGGACTTGGGGAAAAAGTACAAATTGGAGTTTTGACCTATGGAAATTCCTTCAATTGGATATAAAGCCACCAGGGAAGCTGTCTATAGCACTAGAGCATTTTAAATTTATGTTAATCTTAGTTCTGTGTTTGCCTCTACATGGATATTTATTATATGCCACAGAGGACTGTGTATTACATCAAGCAACATACGAGTTGTGATTTTGCAATATCTAGGTATCTTTTAATAATCATGAGAAGATAGCCAACAGGAATTTGCTGTATGTCTTAGGAAACTCAAACAGGGTCTCTATATCAACCTAGAGGGGTGGGATGACGAGGGAGATGGGAGATGGTTCAAAACA